ATTTAAACTCATGATTTTTGGGATTTTTAATTAAAAAATACAAAAAAATCCATATCTCTTTTTCTAGCCGTTAGAATTTCTCAAAAAACATCTCAAAACGTTCGCCTCGACGAGAGATCGAACTTTGCTCCCAGTGCGCCTCGCGCAAAAACGTGCGAATCGGGAGATATCGAAAAAAAACTAATTCAAAAAATATCAAAAAATGAAACTAATCAAGGAAATGAGCAAATCAGTGCTTGAACTCATCAGCCCGTGCACCCCCCGTTGATCGGGGAAGGCCGCGGCCTTGGGGGTGCAATCCCCTCCCCGGCAACGGCGCCAAAGTTGTGAGGAAACACGGGGAGGAGCTACCTACCGTTCGCTGAAGCCATGGGCTACGACCCCTGTCACTTCGCCGCATCCGCTTCCGAGGTCCTCAGCGACCAGCAGGGTTATCCCATTCAGCAAGGTCACTCTTGGTCCTTAACCACAGGCCATTTTAAGATCTTTTCCCTTGCGAAAATTTCACAGTAATCTCGGTCGGAATTGATCCCTCCGTGTCACGCAGGAATGTTCAATCCTCTTTCCGTTCTCTTCGGATCAGCTCACCTCCGCGCAATCAGAAGAGCGGGGAAGCCGCCAAAGAGGGAACGTTAGTTTTCATTTGGCAGAAAGCAAGGGGCCAATCAGGGCTCTTTTCAATGACTTCTCGAAAACGACATTTCCCGAAAATTATTTGTTGTCCAGTCCACAAGGCTCAGAGCAGTGAGTCAATGAAGGGTCTTCTCAATATTTTCTCGAAAATGATATTTCCCGGAAATGATCTACTGGTCAGTTCGCAAGGCTCAGAGCAGTGAGCCAATCAAGGGTCTTCTCAGTATTTTTCTCGAAAATGATAWTTCCCGAAAATGATCTGCTGGTCAGTTCGCAAGGCTCAGACCAGTGAGCCAATCAAGGCTCTTTCCAATAATTTCTCGAAAATGATATCTCCCGAAAATGACCTGCTGGCCAGCTCGCAAGGCTCAGACCAGTAAGCCAATCAAGGCTTTTTCCAATAATTTCTCGAAAATAATATTTCCCGTAAATGTTCT